AAACAGCCACAAGGAAAGTTTAAAAAAAAAAAAAAAAAAAAAAAAAAAAGAAAACCCGCTCGAACGGCTCAGGAGACTTGAAGGAGCTCATCTTTCGAGCGCCCAACACCGTACCTGAAGGTAGCTGTTGCCTGCAGGGTCGTCCATGATGAAGTGAGCCTTCGCCTTGCCCTCTATGATCTGCAGAAAGAGAGCAGGTCCAGGCGTTAAGGCTCCTTCTGATCCTTCAGCGCTTCCGGCACCGAGACGTGCCCAGCACGCTTTAGACAGTTCTAACGTTTTCCTCAGTTAAAACCCAGTAACAGCTTGAGAAAACAAGCGCGGACACGGCAGGGCCAGCGTGGAACAGCTCGAAGGGCAAGGCGGCGCTTGCCGAGGAGTTCAGTTTAACGTACTTCATAGCTGCGCTGAGCGTGGCAAAACCCAGGTGGCAGAGCACGGAAAATTAAGAGCGCGCTCACCTCCTGCAGCTTCCCAACGAACTCTTGCAGCTTTTCCGTTTTGCTGGGCGCGGAGCTGTCCCCCAGCGTGAAGGGGTTTCTCTCAACCTGGAAGAGCAGACCCGCTCGCGCAGCCGGCCGCGAGACGCCCGGCCCCGCAGCCGGGCCAAACAGGAAGGCGGAGGGGCCCGAGCCCCGCCAGGCAGCAGCGCGGGACCGCTCACCAGGTCTCTGATGTCCTTCAGCAGCCCTTCCAGCGTGGTGAATTTCCCCCCCAGCGCTCCCATCCCCAGCTCGAACTCCAGCTCTGGGATCTCCACGCTGCACGTCTCCGACTGCAAGGGCGAGCAGCCCGTGAGCCCCCGCGGACGGACGGACGGGCCCCACGCACCCGCCGCAGCCGGGCGGGGCGCGTGTCCGAGGGCACCGTACCTTCAGGACGTCCCTCGTCATGTCGGAAGGGTCTGCGATCCGAAGGGTAATCCTGGTGCCCTGCGGTTCGATCGCTCCTCCGGACTTCACCTAGGAAGGCCCGGCAGTCAGCTTCCCGGGCTTTTGCGCTCCAGTCGCACCAAGGGGCTTTACCCCGGCAGCCCAGAGGCCGCTCCAAACCTGGGGACGGTGCCTCAACCCAGGGGACTCGAGCAGGCGTGGAAATGGCCGACTTGCACCAAACGGAGCTCTTTGAGACCCGATTCTCCCCCTGCCCTCGTTTAGGAAGGGGAGCCAGGCCCAGCCTGACCTCGCTGCGCAGGCCAGCCTCCGCGCGGCTCGCATCTGGCCTGGCCCCCAGCCAGAAGCGAGCGAGGCAGCCCTGCTACACCCCGCGCAACGCGCCCCCCGCCGCCGCC